AAATATTTAGTTCAGTAATGATAATTTCAACATTAGAATTTAGATTATTATTTCTAATTTAGCTGTTCCCCCCTTTACACTCATAACACTTTCTGACCCTATTATCACAAACAATGTAAAATCTGAATTTACTTTTTTCAGCAATATATCAAGACAAAACAAAAAGCACACTTAAAGAAATACTTCTCATGTTTTAGAAACCTGTTGATTAAAAGGAAAAAACCCCACCACCCTGGAAGCAACCTTTACCTTGATTCAAAGTAGTTTCAGTACAAATCAGTTTTAAATGGTGTTTATTAGGAGTATCAAGGATTTCTACATAAACTGGTCCTCACTGTATATAATCCCAAATGGCATTAACAACCCAATTAATCAGTAACCAGCAAATTTCAGAGACATATTTTCTTATCCTGAAACTAATTTTATTAGTAATTTAGCTTTGTGCTTTGCTTTCATTATCTAAAAGCTAGAAACAGTCAAATTTTCTAGATTTACACTTTTATGACTGCAAAGGAGAGTCCATCCCCACACTAAAACCTGGGTGTGAATCACGGTATTTCCCCAGGGCCACATAGAGCCCTTCAGCTGAAGCTTCCTGGGAATTCAGGACAGGATGATATATGGACAGGATTCATCCTTTTCTTTTTTTCAAGCATACGGAAGACCTCCAGGCAGCTGGTTGCACCATCCAGTGCACTGGAGCACTAAATACATACACGAGCAGGAGCCAACAGAGCAGGAACAAGGCAATAACAAATGTTTGCTGTACCCTCTCACAGCAAAGCTTTACTTTTAAATTACCAAGATCAGACCAAGATCAAGACATCCCACGCTGGTGTTCCCCAGAATCTGTCAGGCTTCACTCGATTCCCATCCCTTCCCTTGAACTGCACTTTTTTCTTAACAGGTCTCAAATGCTTAGCTTGGTATCCGCTGCACTGCGTTCAACGAGGCAGCTCCTTCTGAGTAACGACTCCAAGCAATTCTTAAAATATTCTCTCTGAGCAAGACTTTTGTCTTGCCCTTTCTCGACGCTCCCTTCCAACTCGATTAAATGGAGGGGAGGCACTTCACAGAAGGAAAAATCCTTCCTATTGCTAACGAGCGGCTAAAATAGAATTAACACTCCTGTTTCCAGAAGAGCAGTCTGCTTTCTCCAAGCGGTGAGGGACATGGATAACAAGAAATCACCTCCCAGCCTTACACAGGACCCGCTGCGCTGGGCACCCATGTGAGAACAAACCTTTGGGGGCCACCGAGGACGCTGCTGGCAAAAATCTTGGCCTCATTACCCTGACCAGCATCTCTACCCATCAGAACACACCGCAGAAAGCGCAGCACAGGGTCCTCTTTCCCCCACCTTTTCCCGCCGGTGCGGGCCCCGCCTCCTGCACCCCAAGTCCCGCCGCCGCCCGGGACAGGCGCTTACAGGCGGGCTCGGGCCCGCGAGGCCCCGCGCTCCCGAACAGGCGCCGCCGGCACATCTGGGAGCCGCCGGCCCGGCTGCCCGGCAGAGCGGCCGCCTCCGGTAGAGGGGATGGGCGTCGCTTCTTGCGCGGAGCCTTCCCGGCGCAGGGAGCGCGGAGCCGCCGCTCCCGCTCCATGGCAACCCCCGGCCCCGGCAGCCTCCGCCGCCCGCGGCCCCTCCGGCGGCGCCGCCTCCGCCGCCCCAGCCCGCATGCGCGGGGCGGCCGTGCGGGCCCCGTGTGAGGGAGCGGCCCTCAGCAGACATCACCCCGTGTGAGGGAGCGGTCCTTATGGGGGATCGGCCAGTGTGAGGCATCGCCCCTTAGGAGGCATCGCCCCTTGTGAGGGAGCGGCCCTCATGATGGAGCCGCTGTGGGCAGGAACGCGGGACAGCGGACCCTCCGGCGGATCCGGGCATCGCCGCCCTCGCAGGAAGAACTCCCGTGTGAAAATGGAGTCAGTAAATCGTGTGTGTAATAAGCTCCGTACTGCTCTGACCCCGTGTTTCAGCTTCAGGCTGTAGACAGGAGGAATCTCGTTGCTTCGTTACCTTAAAAAAATAGAGCGTATAGAACCAGAATAATTTGGGTTAAAGGGAGCCCAGATATAATCCCGTTCACCCCTGCCAGGGCAGGGACCCTTTCTGCCACACCCTGTTCCAAGCCCCATCCAGCCTGGCTCTGGGCGCTTCAGGCGTTTGTGGATTTCCAAGTGAAGGGAGATACAAGTGCACACAAAAACCGGAGTAGAGCCCATATGCTTTGAAACTTTATTGGTTTAGACACAATCTGAAAAAATACTATGCATTCCCAATTGCAATTCATATTAAACAAGCATATACATGTGGTTATATTATTATTGATTTTAAATTAAAATCGAAACCATTACAGAAAGACTGCTGCATCTTCAGAGAACTTTGCAACAATTAGTTTTCATAGGAGATTGCTAAAATCAATCTCATGTCCCAATATGCTTTTGGTCGTTATTTTATTTTACATAATTTTTTATTTTTACAACACGTTTAGTTTAGCCACACATTCTGAATGACTTCATACCAATGGTGAAGACAAAGTGCTGAAGGAACAACGGATTTTATAAAAGAGCTTTTATTGTATGTCAGTCCACAAGAAAATCTTATGAGCAGTTTTGAGAAAGGTGAAAATTTAGTTTTTTACAAAAGTTTCCATAGATGACTCTTTGATATACATGCTAATATACCAAAACTGAAAAATTTTTAATAACAGTTAGGATTTTTTTTTACACAAATGTATATGTTAAATTTTACCCCCCTTCACTTTCAGTTGAAAATACAATAGGCAACACTTACCAAAATGCCTCATCTGTTGGCTGCTTTTACTTTGCTAAAATACATAACAAAAAGCTGAAATGAAGGGCTTAAAGGGACTCCAGATGCCTCAGAAAACAGTTTTCTTTGGAAGAATTCAAGGGATCTGAAACTTTTTCATTTCTGGGCATCCAGATTTCTCTGAAAAGCTTCATTGTTTCACAGGTGCAAAGGTGGTATAGAAACCACCAAATGTGTAAAATACTGAAAAACATCAGTTCCAAGAAGAAACAATGATTAATTCTGATCCCCCCTCCCCCCCAAGAATACCAAAGTGAACTAAAGATACAAAAGGCAAGCCAATAGAATTGTCTCTAAAGAAAATAAAATGCTTTTTCAATTTTTTTCTAAGGCATCAAGAGGTCTTTAAGTCACCTATTACCATGCAAAAATAGTATATTCTTTCCCATTTTACATTCATCTTGTAGCATTTATTTACATATAGATCAGCAGTTTGTGCTTTTAACACATGTAAAACTAAAAAAAAAAAAAAAAAAAAAAAAAAAAAATTAATTAATTTTTTCGTTCCAGAGGTTCAGGTCAGATTATTTTGTTACACATGAGAATTTCATATCCATGGCAACAATGAGACTTGACTTTACTGTTGCTGATAGATCCTGACTAACAGATTGCAAAATGGTATTTTATCAATAAAAACTCACCATCTCTGTATCACCTGATGTGCATCAAGCATTTTAACTTGCAAATGTGCCTTTCAGGACAGAATTATTCCATATATTTCCTGCCCACATGGGGTTAAAGACTCTGGTCTGGTTTCTGCTCACACTTTGTGCATTTTGGCAGAACAGATTTTTTCTCTGTGCAATATATCAAGCAAAGAACATACAAAATATATAACTAAGCAAGAGACTCTTCCTGAAAAATGTATTTTATTGTGGTTTTTTATATATAAGACATTCTTCCAGTGATTCCAGAGGCATAGCACCAGGCCCAGGAAGAACCAAGAATGCAGTACTGCAACTCTAAAACTGACTGCAAAAAGAGTTGCCACCTTTTAAGATGAATAACAGAAACTAATTTTGTAATTAGTTATCTTAAGGTAAAAAAAAACAAACAAACCCAAAACCAAACTGGTTATTGGACAGTGATGGGGATTTTTCCTTGGTGGTCACAAGAAGCGTTTCAGTTGAAGAAAGCTCAGTATAAAATAAATATGCCTGGAATTTGAAGAGAAGCAGGATTGAGCCTAGCTCATGCCTTATGCATGTCTCTTTTTCAGGTGTTAATCTCTTACATCGTTATGATTGTGGTGAGAGAGTGACCTGCAGAGGAAAATTGGATATACAAGTACAAAAGAGAGCTTTTAGTTCATTTATACAAATTTTCACAAGTTCTGAAAGCATTCACACTTTTGGTGTGACAAAAAACAACTCAGATTTTACATCATCCAAGTGTGGCCAAGTCTGCATTTTTCTTTCTTATTTTTTTGGTGTTCATATATTTGGCTCTAGTGCATCTGACATTTTGCATCAAATACCAAAAGAAGAATATAGATATATTATTCAGGGTCATATATGTAAAAATAACAGCCATCTAAGCTGTAAATAAACTCATATTGGAATCTTCTGTACTTATACAGAATTTAGTTGTCTCAAAAAGCCTGAAATCACCTTAAGAGAAAAGCAAATCCAATTCAAATGGCAAAAAAACCCAGTAAAAAATAACTTTTCTCTACTTTCTTGGATGACTAGGTTTTGGAGGTTTTTATTTTAAAACTGTTGCATTAAAACAGACAGGAAATTGTACTGAATTTAATTCTCCATTGCTTTGAAGGTTGTATATGTAATGACTGTCTTTTGGCTGATACAAAAAGGATATGAATTAAACTTCTCTGAGATAAAAATCCTTTATGACTTGACCCAAAGAGCCAGATTTTATGCAATAATCCCTATCCTCCATTGACGTGGCAAATTCCCCAGGGATGCTATTGCTGCATACACCAGTGAAAAATTATGATCCCATCAGATCTCAGATATTTCTTTACTTGCTTTGGACTGATATGAGTCACTGCACTGAAATCAAATGAGGAATCAGATGCATAAAGGGATCCAGACAAATGCACATTTGATAAATCAAACTGCCACATTCTTTGAGTCATTATGTTACTGATGCAGTTTCCTCTGTATTATTCTGAAATCATTGCAATAGATCAGTCTTCGTAAAACACTAACTTATTAATTCAATTTATTTCACTTGGAAGCATGCAACAGAAGTTCAGAGAGAAAATAAGATACTGTTTACATCAAAAATTTAAACTTTTAGCTTCAGAAGTCTACAGTGGATTCCACTATAAGAGAGAAAATAAGTGTGCTTCCACTGTCCTAGCAAAGATCTAGCAGGCACAGCTCCATGCTAGCATGTAACAAACATGGTGCAACAAACATCAGCTAGTAAAAGACACAGATATTTAGGACCCTGTTTAGCAGAAAGAAGCTATCAACAGTCCAAGTATTCAACTTGACATGACAGTTTTCTCTTTGCCTTGTACCATGCCTTGTACCAAGAAAGAGCTCTAGAGTCAGTTCCTACTCCTTGTGAGACTTATCCCCTTTCTGATGACCACAGAAATGTAAGGTTTTATCCAGACAACTTGCTGGTTATCCCAGAGAGGCCTTTGGAGGTGATGCCAATGGGATTTGATGCTTCCAGATGTCTGACCATAAAGACGTTCCCTTAACAGGCCCTTCTGCCACCACATCCACTGTTCTGCCTTGCACAGCAGCGGCCAACACAGCCTTTAGCCCATCCCCATGAGTCTTTTGGGGCGGTATTCCTTCCCCTTCCATGGCCAGATAAAGGATAGGATGCCCTCCACTGCTGCATCTCAGGCTGGCCTTTTCCCAAACCTTTCCATTTTGCTAAGCCCCATCCAGAATCACAGCTTATTCCTTGTGCTCCGTTTCTTTAGCGCTGTTTCTGAAGGGAGTTAGTCCAGCTGGACTATGCAGTATTAGCAGCATGTGAAGTAATAAATTAGGGATTGGGAGCATATGGATTATCGTGAACTCCAACCTAAAGCCACCACAGAGCCAGTGATGCTTTTCCAACCTTCTCTGTTTGAGCAGTTCAGATGTCCTTGAGTGCATTGGACTGAAGGAGCCCTAATGCAGAATCTGCAAACCATGGATAAACTGTGTTTGGATGAAAAGGAAATAGAGGGAATTCTGTGCTATTGCTTCCTACCCTGTTCTTGTCATTTCCAGGTAACATGAATCCATTAGATGTAACATACTAATAGGTCTATTAAGTACAAACAGTGGGAAATTCCTTCCTATTTCTGTTCTGGTTGTTAAGTCATCGATGATTAAATCAAATCAATGTCATTTATGTCCTGAAAAATATAAAAACTATCACTTACTATATAAACCAATATCCAGCTTGAAGTTCCAAATGAGATAAAATAGACTTTTATTTTCACCATCAGTCACTGATTATTTGAGGTAGACCACATTATTGAATTACTTATTATTTTAGTTTCTAATATATTAGGTTGTATACAATCAAATATCAACAGACATACCTGAAATTTTCCCTATTTTAACTAGAAATGTTTGTAGTAATTTAAAAGATAGGCTTCCATAATTTACTTGGTCATAGATTGAAATTTCTGCATATTTTGCGGCAATTTAGCATAACTTTTAGTAGTGCCTTACTGTATACCTAGAGTAAAAAAGAAATTGTATCACACCTGATGGCAAAAAGAAAGGAAAATATGGTTAGTGATGAAATCCTAGAAAAATGAAAGGCTCAGATGTAAGATTCAGATGCTTATCCATTTCAGCAGTGTCGTTCTGGCTCTGTAGTTTTTAAGTATTATTCTAATATTGCTATGAAGTCCATTACTCAGAAGATTCTTCCCATGATTTCAGATGGAGATGCTTGAATATAGCTCTTCTATTTGTTTTTTGAAGTAATCTCTCAGTTCTGGTCTCTTAGCCTTTAATGTTGGTGTCAACAAACCGTTTTGCACTGAGAACATATCAGAGTGAATATAAATGGCTTTGACCTAAAATAAAAGAGGAATATATTTATAGCAAAGGTTACAAGCATCAAACTGATTAAACATTAATTTTTTTTGCTGTGCTTCCCTCTGGTGGTGCCTCAAGTCCAGGGCACTCTTCTGCTGAGTCCCCAGGATTTCCATCCCCTGCCCACAGAAGGGAGCTCTCCAAGAGAATGAGAACATAAATTGCTTTTCTGCATGAAAGCAAGGCCAGAGCACAGTGAGGCAGCGCACAAGGGCCAGTGTGAGATCATCACTGCAGTTTCACACAGCTGAAAGGCAGTGGGGGAGAGGGCAAGGGCAGGGAATTGTGCTAGGAAACCTCAACTTAACCCCACTGCAAAAGCAAACAGCACTGATTCAATATTGCAAAGTTATCATGAAGCTTTTCAGGCACAAAATGTGTACATGATGATCATCTTTAGCTAATTAAAATGATCCAGATCTTTCAGCCAGTGCAAATGGCATTTCACAAGGCTGCCCTTGTTTGAGGCAGTGGCTCAGAGCACAGTGGGGAGCCTGGCAGCACAGATGGGAGTGAGCTTTTCCTTCCCGTGCTGGTGTGGGGGAAAGCAGAAAACTGCTGCGTGACTGGTCAGAGCCCACTGATTTAAGACAAAATTCCCCAGCCATCTGCTGCTTCTGTGATTCCCCAAGCCAGACTGCTTTGCAGTTTGTTTGGCTGGGAGCTGCAGCAATATAGGCTGCAAATCCATTTTGCATTCCTTAGATATGTGATTCATCTTTCCCTGCAAGCATCGTGGTCCAGGCCCTGCCCCCATGCAATCCTTCATAAATCAGGGTTCACATTATTAATGCTCCCCTGTTTGCTGCACTAGCTTTCAGATCCTGGAAGCTGATGGTTATAGAAATCACACTTGTCCTTCCCAAGACAGAAATCCAAGCTGCAGATGAGGATGGGGATGATAAAGAGTATCCCCATAAACAGAGAATCCCATTCCATATGAATATTAGCCACAGTATCTGGCTCAAAATTTGGTTTTAAGATTACATATTGCAACAAAGGTGAAGTTTTGAAGCCCTTTAATTTTGAAAATTGTATCATTTTTTATTTTATTCTCTTATTATTTTATTCCAGTTTTAGAAAGATGACAAGTCTTTCCTCACTACATTATACTTTATTAATTGTAAACTGCTGGTGGAATTGATTAGCTGAGGATATTTCATACTGTGAAGACCATGGCAGAGGCAAACAATGTTTATTGGCACAGACAATTATGTGCATTAAAAACGATGCTTTATACTGAATTATTTTAAAATAAATTTCTTTTTGCTGTCATTTCATTTGCATAGGTAACTGAGGAATAAATAATAGGGTTATGTTTAATGATGCTTCTGCTCCACTCCAATATGGTGAATTACTCATTAGAATTATCACCCAGAAACAGTCTAAACAAAAGCAAAAAAGCCCTTGCTAATTATATGTAATGATTAAGATGTTTGTTTTTTTCAACAGAAATAAGCATTTGACATTTTAAAATGGGGTGGATAATTTTCCTGTGCTTTTAATTCTATGTAGACCATGGTTGATTTCAGATCTCCTCTTCTGAAGTGTTTGTAGCTCTATTGCAGAAGTATTTACACAAGCAGGAAAGAACTAGTGCCCAGACTAAAGATAAAGAAACCAGCAGCATTTCCAGGTCAGGTATAAGAGTAGTCATTAGTGACCCAATTTCTAACAGAGCTTTCAGTGGCAGAAAAGTCAGACTCCTACAGATGTTTATCTTGACCTCTGGTTTTCTGGAGATTATCCATGTCCCCAATTAAGATTTTGACCTCTGCACCCAAAACTTTCACTAAATTTAATTAAAATTTCAAACATGGGTGGGAAGCAGAATCACAGCAAATACGTTTTTCTAAAGGAATAAATACAGCGTGCCAGCAATAAAGCTCTTTCCAAAAACATCATGTGCATCTGCAACAAAGATTTGTAGTAACATGATAAATGCTGACAAATCCCTCTTCTATACAGACAGATGGCCTGTCTGAGCACACTGAAGGATGTGTTTCATTTTACCTGCTCAAAGGAGTGAAGCCCACTCTCCTTCCCTAACCGCACCATGTCTTCCATTATCGCTTGCTGCAGTTCCTGCATCAAAACACAGAAATTCCTCATGAGCTACCATAGCCAGCCTTACATGCAATTAATGCTCATTGCTCAACAAACAAAGTGTTTCTGAGTAAAGTTCAAGTGCCTTACTAACAGTTAATATGTAATTAGCAAAATTCTGTTGTAATGTATAAACATTACACTAAGTTAAGTGTCTCCTTGGTAGAAAAAGTAAGGTTCTATTTTCAAACCAGCAATGTGACATAGCTGTTAAATTTACAGTCCTTTCACTATCTGCCAGACTTCAATGCAGAATCACTGCTCACAGACACCAATGGAATGGTTCAGTGGCATCAGTATTTGCTGATGTGATCCAATGCAGTTCCTCAGTATTAGAGAGCATGTGTTTAAGACTGGGGTCCTTTTTATAGAATCATAGAATGTCCTGAGTTGGAAGGGACCCACAAAGACCATGGAATCCAACTCCCAGCCCTGCACAGAACAGCCCAAGAGTCACACCACGGGCCTGAGAGCAGTATCCAATTGGTCCTTGAGCTCTGTCAGATTGATGGTGTGACCAGTCCCCTTGGAAGCCTCTTCCAGCGCCCAGCCACCCTCTCTGGGAAAAACCTTTTCCTAATATCCAAACCTCCTCTGACAACTTCAGGCCCTTCCCTCTGGTCCTGTTGCTGGTCACCACAGAGAAGACCAGCAATAAGTCTTATTTAGTTGTCTTATTTAAGAAATCTAAGCAAACACAACCTCTCCTCCAGCTGTACTGTTGTTCTCTGCAAGAGAGACTCTTGCCCTCCCCCACCAGTGCTGGCAGAAGTTGGTACCACCAGTCAACACATATCACTGGATCCAGGTCAACCCTGCTGAATGTTCAGTAAGGAAATAGTTCTTGTCACTGAAATTGTCATTCCTAGACAAAGTATTGTGCACACATCATGCTACAGCAAAAAATAATAATAAAAAAAGTCTGTACTGCAGACACAAACCTTATTTTTACAGAGTTCTGCATATGTTCCTTCAAACCCTCTTTTCTTTGCCCAACCTGGCATGACCTCAGAATCAGGCACCACAATTCCCACCAGGAAGGCCTGTAGGTAAAGGAGAAGGAGAGTTGCAGGTGAAAGCTGAACCACATTCCAGGCTCTACATTGAAGTGAATGCACAAGTCAGCTGAATTTCTGCATGTTTACCACTTCCTGATAATTATGTCAGTAATTTGCTAACATATTGTCATGAAGTACCTTCTGATGCCTGTGCCTTTTTCTCAGATAAAAGGTTGTCTGTGACTGCATTTACCAGCAGTTTTAATACCTCAGTTGGGTTCATTCTCCTCCTGGACATTAATAACTCACATAGCCCTGCAAATCCCAGGCAAACTCTGATGCCAAGGGAAGGCTCATGCTTGTGAGCCTTGAATGCAGAGGATGAATTGCCATGGCTTCAGAAGCTGTAGGTGTGTGTATAAATGTGCAAATTAACAGAACAAGATTGGTCAGAATGGGCAGGCAGTGTTGGGGCAGCAGTGACTTTGCCTTTTCCTGGCTTACCACAGGCATGGTGTCAAAGGACAGCACTGGAGACCCAAAGAGTGACACCAAAGCCAACTTAAAAGCTTGATCTTTGGTCACAGCATTCTCTAAGCTGCTCAGAGTCACACCAGCAGCTCGGTTCCTGCCTGGCTGTCAGCCAGCTCCAAAGCAGGAGGGAGACAGTGTGGTGTGATCCACTCACATTTTCCCTTCCTTCAAGCCCAGCTCTGTCTTCTAACTACCAAGAGTACAGTAAGATTTTCTGAAAGCTTGGTTTGTACCTGCAGGCTGTCTCCATGGACGTAGATCTGAGCAACAGGGTCACTGCGGATGTAGATATTCTCGATCTTCTCCGGTGCAATGTATTCTCCCTGAGCAAGTTTAAATATATGCTTCTTCCGATCAATAATTTTAAGGGTCCCATTCTGTTAGGAGAAAGAAATGAGAATTCCCAGAGAAGTTATTTAACCACAGAAACTCAGCAAGCTCTGTGTCTTTAAAAGGGCTTTCAATTGCCTGTTGTGCTTTCGAATGCTTATTCTGCCAAATAGAAACTCAATCCTTTGTAAAGATAGACCTGCTTGTAGACCTAAGTTCAGCCCTTGAAAATTTACTTGGGATAATGCAATTGCCATAAGAACTCTGGGTGAGTCCAGTACGCACAGGTAACCATTTTCCAATGTCTCCTGTGTGAAGCCAGCCCTCCTGGTCCAGTGCCTCAGCTGTCCTCTCTTCATCTTTCAAGTAACCTTTAAACACATTGGGTCCTTTCACACAGATCTGCAAAACAACCAGGGGTGGTGATGAATTATTTTCCTATTCTGCTATAAATATAAGTTAAGTAGTAACTCACTAAATTTGAAATATTTTAATGACTAGGCTCCATGAAGCTAAAACAGATTGGGTTATTAAACTATCTATGGCTTTTTTTTAAGCAAATGGAAATATGAAGTAGGCTTTGCAAAACTGATTTATTTGAAGTTGATTTGCATTCCATTTGCAGTTAAAAATAACAAAATTATTTCAATAAGTTTAATTTTTGTGTAGTATAAAAATCACAGCAATGTAGAGATTGCAGCAATGTAGAAATCAAAGCAATTCAGCTCTTCTTAGCTGAACTAATTCAGTCCTAGCAGTTTAAGGAATCAGGCTGGAAGTACTGCCACAGCTCCTTTTTCATTAATTCTTTGCTGCTCTATTGTTAAACTTCCATTTTCCTTTCCTGATTGCACGATGTAACCCATCAGCAACCATGCACGCTACAAAGGTCAAATGCTTCTATAAACTACTTCATACAGTGTTAACTAGTGAGAATTTGATATAAAAATGTGATTTGCTACCTCTCCTTCTCCTTTGGAAGCAAAATAATTCAGTTCTTCCACATCCTTCAATCTGATTAAGTTACAGGGCAAAGGGGCTCCTACATGACCTGGAAATCAAAGTTATCAAGTCACTTGTCATCTCTCCTATAAACAATAATTAGCATTTTATCATTAGTTACTTGCATAGTTGTAGATACACTGGATGTTCTTGCAGGAGCTGTGTCTGTGTGCAGAAATCATTTACTTAATTAAGGTTTTGCACTATTAAAACTAAATACCAACACCTCCTCTTTGGATATAAAACCTATCCTGAAATAGCGGTTTGGGTTGGAAGGAACCTTAAAACTCATCTCATTCCAACCCCCTGCCAGAGGAAGGAGCACCTTCCACTAGATCAGGTTTCTCCAAGCCCCATCCAACCTGGCCTTGATGTTACAGTCCATAATTTCCTAAAGGAATGTGCATTTCTTTTATTTCTTCCAATGGTGGAAGAAAATAATTACCTGATGTCCAGTCACCTGGAGTTGTAAAGGTGCATCCAGCTGTGCATTCGGTTTGGCCATAGCCTTCATAAACCTGACAAAGAGACAGGTATCTTTAAAAGATCCTAAAAGATTTTGCTATTACAAACTGCAATTCCAAGCATTGCCCTGTGTTGCACAGTCCTGTGAGCTGAGGCTGCAGCTGCAGTGTGTGGGTGCCCATTTGCCATGGGGACACTGTCCCTGGCTTCTACTGTGTACAAAATAACATTTACATAACTAGGAAAGACCATGGCTCTGTATCATTGAAAATAGGGAGATGATGAGTTGAGCACTTAGCTTTTGATTCAGGACATATGCTACACTATGAGAGAAACTTATTAATGGGAAAAAAAATGTATTTTTGTGGGACATTTTGAAAATCCACCCTTTTTCTTTTTCTGACTAATTTTAGGCTCTCAAATGAGACCTCTCAGTTGCACTGGGTTTCCTCTCACAGAGAAATAATGCAGTGGACATCTCAGGTGGGTTAGGCTGATATCTGAGGATTAGCTCTCTCCATTTATATATAGAATAAAACTCGTGTAATGAAGTTCCCAGCATTTGCACGAACACATTTAATTTCCCATACTCAATTTGGTGCTGAGAGGCGGGTGGGATGAGCCTGTGGGCTTTTTCTGGGAGATGCCCAAAGTGAAAATATCTCTTGCCTGTTACTGCCATCCCAGAGCTGTTCCCACCCCGCTGAGCTCTGGGTGTACCAGGACTCCGTGGCTGCCCCAAGCCCGGCTGTTCAACCCATCCTGGTACAGCTGTCCTGAATGCAGTTCTGAGGGTCTAACCCATCTCCTTTCCTAAACACCAGGTGCTCTCTTGCTCACAGTGGATGAACATCCCTGAGCAGGCACACAAACCCACCTGGCATCCGAGGGCGGCGCGGAGGAAGCCCAGGACGGTCGGGGACGCGGGGGCAGCGCCTGTCACTATCATGCGGACACAGCCCCCAAGGCTTGCCTGGTTGGGAGCAGGAGGAAACAAAAGAAAGCATCAGAGGCTACTGCAGATGGCAAAACCATGAGCTTGCACAAAATGCTCTCTCTAGGATAGATGTGCAGGATCTCCTGCCCATGGCATGGGGTGAGAATTAGATGAACTTCAAGGAGTCTTCCAACCCAGCCATTCCGTGGTTCTGTGATGAGGCCATCTATGGAAATATGAACTAGCTCTGAAGCTTTCCTGAGGGATAAAACCCCATTCAGTGTACAGCGACAGGAGTGCTCATGTCCCTGGCAGGACAAGCTGCTCAGCCTAGGCTCCTGCAACTGCTGTGCGTGGGCAGGCTGCAGAGCTGGCTCTGGGAACTGCTGGGAAAAACAGACTCTTCCCCATCCAGTCTTCTTTGCTTATTTACACCTCACTGGTTTTAATGAACTGCCTCCCAAGCCCTCTAAAATAATGTTGTCCCTTTTTTAAGGCAGATGACCTTCAAATATTTCTGGAGGGTATTACATCAATTCCTGTGTCCTATTTCACTTCTTTCTCCTCCCCCTTCATTTCCTTTTCTTTATTCTAGAAGTAAAAAAGAAAACCCAGCACAAAAGAAAACAACTGCTGACTGAGTCTGCCCGTCTCGCCAGCCCTTGCATCAATATGCGGCCTGGCTCGCTCCCGGCTGGGTGAACTCTGCCATCTTTGCACACTGAGGACAACTAATCCACAGACCACAAGTACAGTCAGTTTCTTTAGTTAAAAATAAAGTGGCAGGTCTCCAGATAAGTCATCCGATTAAAAAAATTAATTAGAGCCTCCTGGAGTAGTACAGAGCCCAGAAAAACCTGGTTTAAAGCCAATTTAATATCTTTTTTTACTAAGATGTGTGGGAAGCAGAAGGGCATTCTGATTTCTTTATTCATGGTTGCTAAACCATGATTCATGTGTGCATTTTTCTTTACAACTTTATTCTTTTCCTAGGAAGAAAAGTGGGTTTGAATATACCCAACTGCAACCCAACCCTAAGTCCAATACTATTTGTTGGGATTTTCCAGAAAACTTTGGAGTAGCATCTCTTTGATCAGTGACCTTCTTTTCACGACCACCTGTCTGAACTTCATCCCTAGATACCTTTCCTCCTCCCTCTCTCTTCTATCTGAGAGCTGCAAAAATTTTTTGGCACTCTTCCATAAATTAGTGATTTCTTGGTGCTGCTGAAGAGGGATGTAGCAAATGTCACCTTAGCTTGCCTTGTGTTTCTCCATTCCCTCTGGAAAGTTATCCCTGAGAGAATTGAAATTTTGACATTACGCATGGTGCTTAAAAACACAAACAAAAAAGACAAAACTTCACCAGCAACAAACTGTGCTCAGTTCCCTTTTTCTATTCTATTTTCAAGTCTGTTGTTCACTATTGAGTAGTGATTGCCCACAGTTCATCATCAGGCAAGTGGACTACAGTGACTTTAAGGAATCGTAGAATTGTTAAGGCTGGAAAAGACCTCTAAGTCTTACCACTCATCAAGTCTCACCACCAATCCAGCACCATCTTCACAACTAAACTATGTCCTCAAGTGCCACATCCACCCCCTCTTCTAACACTTCCATCACTCCCCTGGGCAGCCTGTTCCAATACTTGACAATCCTATCCATGAAGAAATTTTTTCTACTGTCTGAAAGTGCCTTGTCAGAAAATCAGTCATTGCTGGAAGGAACGAGAGTTCTTTGACTTCAGACTCACTTCTTGAATCACTTACCTGTATCTTATTAAAGAAAAGTTTATCCCACAAACTGTCGTTTCTAATGATGCCGTTTCGAACTTCAGCCTTTTTCCGTCTGGCCGCAAATTCCAGGATCCAGCGCTTGAGGGATGTGTCAGCCTGGCTGAAGATCTGCGGGAGCACAGGATGGCAGATGAGGTGCCACAGAGGAGAGGGAGCACATCAACACCTCTTCTCCCCATGACACCCACACAGCCAGGTGGGCACAGTTACATTTGCAGCACAGGTAAACAAGGGTTTGTTAGTGGGGAAAAAGGAATGATGTGTTTCACGCCATTCCCTATTGCACACGTGATTCCTTTGGGGGGAAAATACAGGATGGTGGTACAGGCCTCGACTGGATTGACAGGGCTGTTTTTAATATATAATTTTTGTGATAGGGTTCAGTGAAATACAGGCAACCTGAGCAACAGGGAGTAAGCAACATGAACAGGTATCAGGGGTGGCTGATGTGGTGATGGGAGCTGCATTTACCTGAGCTGAATCAGGCACCAGCACAAACTTCACCTCAACAAACGAGAAACCCCAGTGCCTGTCCCTTAATAAAGCACAGAAGCCCTGACCTTTGGGAAAAATTACATCAGTAGCTTGTGCTTAAGCTTGTCTTTAGCAGATAAGTCTTCTGAGGAATAAATATTCCCAGCTAGTCAAACAGATTTAACAGGATGACCAGACGTGCCTGTCTTAAATACTCTGCAATACCTTTACCTTAGTTTTAAAGATTTCTAATCCAAAAGCCACTGTCACACTTACGCTGCCTAAATCCTCAAAGGCTTTTTGAAATTTCTGATTTCCAGCTGTTGTTGCCATCAGAACAAGAGATTTGAGTTTCAAATCTGGTTGAAGGGTACAAAAAGTCCTTGTGCAGCCAGGTTTGACTGATGTTTCTGTGACAAAAAATATCCTGTATCTCTAGAAACGTCACTGGTAATTTTAGTGAGAACAAGGTAGGAGGCTAGTACAGAGGGATTTCATATTCATGTGATAGCTGTGTCTGGAGTCTGTGTAAGTCATAATACAGACTTACACACTGAAGGAGCTATATCCATTACACAGGGTGAGAATGTGTCTGCAGCAAGGCAGAAATAGTGTCATCTGCTTGAGAAAGCTCCATGACTAAGGGAATTCTTCCACATGAGTGATAAAGGCACATAAACTCCACTGTTCCAAAAAGAGTGAAATCAAAATGCAGCTCACCTTGTCATACATTCTGTTCAGCAGCCGGGGCACCACGGGGAAGATGGTTGGCCGCAGTGCCTTCATGTCGTCAGACAGGAGGCGAATGTCGCCTTGGAAGAAGCCAATCCGCCCTCCGTGGCAGTACACTACAGACTGAGGGGAGAAAGAGGAGCACATGTAACCCCTTGGCTTTCAATTCCCAAAGCAAAGCATTCCTATCCCAAGCGCAGAAGCTCCTTTTCTGAATTTCTGCTCTGCAATGTGGCAAAAATGGGACTTTGGAAATACAATAAAGTAACAATAAAATTTTACGCTGAAGAGAAATATCAAAATAGTTCTGGGTGTTTTTCAGTACAAGCAATTCAGCATCCGGCAAATTTACCACTTGTTCTGGAAGAACAAGGAATCAAAATTTTCAGAAGGGATTTCCCTTCATCCCCTGCATATGGGGATAGAGAAGTCCCAGTTAGGGTCAGAGTCTGGATCAGAACTTTCCTAAAGCCCAGCCCTCCCATAGCAGCTCACAGCATGAGGACCTATCATCAATACAGAAATGCAAAGTAAGAAACATCATGAAACATGGAGCAGCAGCCAATTTTTAGATGTTAATACTTTAGTTTTGTTTAAATACAACAATATAAACTACGTTAGCAATACAGTGCCTGATCCTGTATCCCAGAAATAGAAGCCCACTTCATGAAAGGTGCTTGACTTGTATGGAAACTACAAATCCAGAAGCCTTGGACTTGAAAACAAAGCAGGGTGTTTTCCTCATCAGCAGAATGGAGCTCAATATGTGAGATGGGGCAGAGGGGCTGCTGGCCATGAGCCAGCTGGTAGCTGGTTACTGGTAACCAGTAACCCTGCCAAGGAGCCACCACAGACTGGGTCATTCTGGCATTTTGTCACTGAAGAACATTTGGAGACCAGACATTTGGGCACTTCTCCCATGGTTTTACAGTGCATGGAGGAGAAAGTGTCCTCAGCAAGTGCCCCTGTGATGCCAGAGCTAAGCCCAGCCTTCCTGAGTAGACTGAAAACTTCAGCTCCCTTTTGTGGGCTTGTCTTCCCCAAATAACTAAATAAGTTGAAAATTTCTTAAGAAACATCCACGTCTTTTGTGCAGCTCCTAAAAATCTGCAGTACTAGCCAAATTGCTCTCACTGCTCTGTCAGACAATTACAGACTGTCTCCATCAGCTGAAACCACAGGAATTTTACACATGTGATGTGGGTTTAATGAAAATCACACTGCTGAATCTGTGCTTTACACTGCACATGAATTTAAAAAAGAAAGTAACCAGTGTGCTCATTGGGAATTGAAAGTAACAACTAGAAATTTTTAGCTTTAAAGAATGTATCTGTATGATTTTAATTGTAAATTACAGGAATGAATAATGTTGGCTAAAACTAGGGACACTGATGCAGTGCTTGCTGTTCAAAATGCTTTTGAAAATTACATTTAGCCCTTTTGAAAAAATCTTTATATTAAGTTGTTTCAGATGGGAGGATAAACCTGGACATCCTTTGGAGGCTGTCCCTTTCACTACAGCAACATCCTCTGAAATGAAAGCATTTTCATTGTTTCTAATTTCTTTCTGCCCACCCATCAGATGAATTTTGAATAATTATATTCTTGTTTGCTGAACAGTGCTGGCACACTGACCAACTTGCCTTGCAGGTGGAGAAAGGCGAGGCTGTAATTCTCCAAATCTTTCATGGGCTTTTACTTCCAATTTCTGAGAGTTTTAACAGGGAAAAAGATATTATTTTTGGCACAGATGTTACTAAGAAGTGGGAGGTTTTTATTCAGATGCTTGTCTGACTCAGAAAGCGTGCTTTCAGCCTGAAACAGGCCTCCCTGAGAAAGTACAGAGTTGCAACTGGATCCAGATCCAACCTTCACATACTGGATCTATTTTAAGTTTGCAGCTTCTCAGGCCAGGAGACCTGATGTGACTGTTTCACCTGACTTGCCTAACTCACCAATTGCAGCACAAGTCAAAAAGACATGGAGTCAGTTCTGTGGGCTGGCAAGAGCTTGGATCTGCCATAATTCCTGGGGGACACAGGCTCCAGTGAATGGCCACAACATGCTGCCCTGCCAGGAGGATCATGTCTCACCATGATCTCAGTTTCTTCCTTTTCAGTACCTGCCAGGTTGGATTTTTTTTTTTTCAGATCATGTTATTTATGCAAAAAAATCATTTTAGCTGATATAGAAAATGGCACGAAAGTATCTTGACTCACACAACATCTCATCCTAGAAAATCTGAAAATTGGCTCTGAAAATCTGTCCCACAGATTGCTCAGGTAGCAGTAGCCATGAGCTGAGTGAGATTTTGGCTCATTGCTGAAGGGCTGTTTTTCAATCCCTGAGCCAGGTGTAAGCTGGAGAGCTTGGGAAACTCTCCTGGCCTTGTTCTGGACTCACAGCCATGTCACTGAGACCATGGCTCTGGTGTTATGCACATGGCACTTCTGGAGTACAAGCCTTTTTAGTGCTACAAGATATCGCTGGTTATTTAGTATTTTATTGATTTTATTTTATTTTTTTGTTGTTGGCGTGGAAAAAAGACGATTTCCACTGACACCATGACCTTACCTGTACCATTCTCTCAAACATGTGTGCTAAAGGCAAATAGGAAATGTGTACATCCTCACAAGTAGGAGACCACTGACTCTGGAAGAAAACACAAGGAGCCCCACGAGGCCTCGTCAGTTCAGGCAGTTTCTTACCTGTATAACTCTTTCAAACATGTGAGCCAGAGGCAGGAAGGAGATGAGCACATCGTCCTGTCTCGGAAAGATCACTTTCTGCAGGTGGAGGGCATGGGAGACAGAAAGGAAAGAAACACTGACAGGAAGACAACAAGAAAGTCATAAAATAATAAAAAGAAAAATGGCACCAGAGGAGCAAAAGGGTAAAGATTGTCAAGAGAGGAGGGAGCGGCGGACACAGGGAAGCGTTAAAGCCACAGCATCATGGAGCTCAGTTAGCAGGAGGAGTAAAGAGCACGGAGATGTACACACAGGGCAATGCAGAGGGCTCTCCTTGGCAGAAGGCAGATTGTACCCACGCAGCTCTCGCTGGCAATGGAGGCTCACCCTGATGGAGAATCCCATTTTTATTCACTGCTTTCTACCAGGAGGTGCCGAGACCCTGATCTGTGCTCTCAGCTGTGCCAGGCAGCAGGATCCTGGTGCAAACCTGCAGGAGCCCCCAGGATCCCAGTGCTAACCTGCAGGAGCCCCCTGGACACCAGCAGGGCCCTGCAGGAGCAGCACTTTCCCACATTGCATCCAACCCATTCCAAAATCACAGTGTTACTAGAGTCAAAATTAGCCTTTTTTTTTTTCCTTTTCCTTGGGTTAATCATTGGTTTGAATCAATGTGTTGGAAAACTAATGATTCAATCTTAGGCTTCAAAATTACTTCTGTTAGTGTTTCTCATCATTTTAAATGATTAAAATATGATTTTAGGGGCATTATGACTGTCCCACAGATGAGAAAGAAGAAGGGAATAGGGGAACAAAAGTGACCAAAGTCTTAATTTTGCCAAGTTTTTAACTCTCTCTTGAAGGCTGGAATAAACAAAGGCCTCAAGAACCTTACCTAATCCATTCCCCAAAAGAAAATAACCTTACTACCTGCATTTCCTAGGGAACAGCTTGCTGTAATATTATGGATTAGAAAAACTGAAAGGTTGACTACCCAATAATTTGCATCAAGGCCAGTGGTTAGTGGAAAATGGGTATAAAAATCTATCAGCTCACAGTGTTAACAGTTTATACCCACTTGCACCTCCACTGCTCAGAAGGAATCAATAGCCCATGACCTGGGATACAGTGGAGGCAGACACAGGAGTTCATGCCTCAGGGGATATTTTATTGAAGTTAAATCTGGGCTGGTCAGATTTGGGTATGGCCTCCCAGCCATCACCTACCAAAGTCAAACATCATTCACCATGGGGTGTTCTCAGCATCCCATTTCATATTATTGTGTCTGTCAGTCTCAATGAAGCCATTAGGCCCTGCAGATCTATTTATACATTATTTCAATTTGGCTTCATTTTCTGCAAGCACAGTAATGCAAAACCTTTAATATCAACCAGGGTTGTTCTTTTATTACTGCTGTAAGAGCCCAGACAAAATGATCTGGTTTTGAATCAGAACAAAATTATGCCATTGAATAGCATTTCACAGTTGGCACAGTTAAATATAAAAATGCAAACAGCTTCTTGGTATTTGAGAACAACCTTATAAAGCTTTGGACTCGCTTAAAAATACATTTGGTTTGTAAAAATCACTGAACTAAGCAAAACTGCCACAAGAACTTGCAAACAACAAACCCACAGAACTTCTCATTTTGTTTCTTTAATTTATACTACTTTCAAATGTTTCACACTTTACTCTATTTCATTACTATGGTCAGACATTACCCAAATCTTGTGGATCAGCTACAGGCATTTACCCTCTGCTAGCAATACTCTGGTGACTGGAGATAAATTTACAATCACACCAGACTTGGGTCTCAATCTGATACCTTTGAGATTAATCAGGGTCCCACTCCATCAGCAAACACTAAATCCATTCTAGTGGACCAGTTCTGGAAAATGCCAAGTTCCCTCAGCTCTAAATTAGCACTGTTCCAAAATAAATGCCTGCCCTTGAAAGCTCAGGCCTCTCCACACCTCAGCTTCCATTTGTGCCTCTTGCTGCCACTGAAGCTCCATGCTGAGGAGCTCTCACTGGCATTTTGTGCTGCACACTGTGGAGGCACAGTCCTGCAAACATTGGCACATGTGAGTTTAGTGGCATTTCTTACATCACATGTTGCAGTTTCTTTATACCAGTGGTCCGGAAATCTCAGAAAATTCCAGGATTAAAGTAAAAAACTTCAGTAATTTCAACATCAACAATAAGACCAGTAAGGGGTATGAGATAACCAATTTTCCATCCTATGTGCATGTAATTACTTCATAGAATTCCTGTTCACTACCAGAAATTATTTAGATTTGTTTTATATAAGATGTATAAAATCCTTACTATGTCATGGTCAACTGATTTTGCTTCCTATATTGTTTCTAAACATGAGTTTACAGTTGTGTGAAACAGATTATAAAGGCACTTGGCCAGCACTCTGCTGTGCTCTGTTAGAAATATGTATAACAAAAACTGAAATATACTGGAATACCAATGAAATTAACCATTAACCATTCTGGTAAAAAATCATGTATGTTCTTAAAAATATATATATTTATACACACATACTTTGTATGCAGAGAGGTTTCAAATAAATAGTGACATTTTTGGGCACAATGAGACACACAGAGCACAAGAGAAGCTTGAACTCCTCTTCAAGTACCAGTTGCAACTGCACAGGGCTTATGTGCTCTCCTAATTGATCAAAAAGAGTTAATGAATTAATTTACAGAAGTCAGCATTGTTTCTCAGAAGCCCTTAGTGCCCTACAGAGCCTGGGAGCCAGAGCTGCAAAGAGGATTTAATGCCCTCCAGTACTGTAGATTCAGCCTTGCTCCATTCCCATGGATTTGGCCCTCTGAGCAGGAAAAATGTCATCTTTTATCTGCAAGAGCATCCTTCCAGCCCATGCAGGGCCACAGCTCAACCCACACACCCTGCACATGGCAATGTTTTCTAGCTCAGGGTAATCACCTCTGTCACTTTCAAAAAGCCTGAAAAATCCGCCACCACGTTTCCATGGGTCAGCATAGCACCTTTGGGATTTCCTGAAAGGAAACAGAGAGGGAATTTAAAAGATAAGCCAGAAGGTAACTTTCAAAAACTGAACAAAAAAACAAAACAAGAAGTGGTTAAAATATTATGCTTGCTTCTTCAATTTTAAAACACAGTGATTTTCACCATCATTTCTGTGCACTAATACACACCAAAAACAATTCAATACTCAAAACTTAATAAAATGATACTGCAAACAGAAATATTTCTCTTGGAGACTTTGGAAAACAGGTTCCAGCAGAAAATAGCCTAACTGCAATTTCTGAGAGTGCTCAGATGGAGCCACTCAATGAGCACAGCCATCAGACTTGGCTGGCTGTTCTAGCCTCTCTTGGGAGGATTTATTTCATCCAGATTTTGACTAAGAATGATCTTGAACACCAAGAGAAACTGTTTAAAAGGCTGTTATACTCTTACTTAACCAGTATTCTGGATAACATGAGAAATGCAGAGAAGTGCAGGTAAAAATTAGGCTACAAGAAGACCCTTTGAGACTACAATTAAGGGAAGTATGAATGAATGAATAATATCAGCAGCAGAGGTGTCTTGAGGGCACCCCTAAACCCATTAGGGAGCCAGCAGAGCCCCTGTGCTGTGTTCCAGAGCTGGGCACTGCCCCTGCAGCATTTCATCCACCACCAATAGGCACCTCAGCACCACCAATATTTGCCTTTTTACATTCCTTTTACACCATGGTCAGCTGACCATAGTACACCTCTTGCATTTCACATCTTTTGGACACCAAAACAGTGTTTGTTAAGCAAATCCACAGGCTGGAACCTCCACATTCACAAAAAAGTGACATGGAGGGCTCTGCACATCCTCCTATCATAGCACTGTCCCTTTTTATCACCCTGCAAGGCTTTACTTGTGAAAATAAGGTGTAGCTCAGCTCAAATAAAGATTATGGGGCCAGCCTCTTTCTCTCCAACATGTTTTTAAGCAGATTGTTTTAATTCCATCACACCGCTGCCACGTAGTTCCTGCTGCTCTGTGCGAAGGCAGATCAGGGGAGCTTTACCTGCAGGTGCCCAGTGTCCCCAGAACAGTGGGCATGAGCAGCCTGGCAAAGCTCCTCCAGTTAATGCAACAAAAAGGCAAACCAGCCAGAATTTCATTCTGCCTTCCTTAGATTAGGAAGAGACTCTGGTGCTTTGTGAATATGTTTCAGCACAGGAAAGTATGTTTAATCCTCTCATTTCAGAACAGTTTGAGGGCTGTGCTGCTAGCATGGGCACAGACATGAGCACACTCAGCACTGAGCCCTGCCAGCCCCACCACCACCACCACTCCTACTCAGCCTCCCAAGGAATTAAAGGCAGGCACAAACAGCAATTGTTGCATACATTTATTGCAGTAGAGTAGGATATTTTTAACACAAGGTATTATACTGATAATTCCTATTTGCTGCTCCAAGTGCCTTGAGTAATTCAGTCCCAAACATTTGCAGATGAAGATGGAGCACAGGAGGTTGGTTTGGTCCCATCTGAAGCTCAGGGGTGAAGCTGGCAGCTTTGCCAGCCATGGCTGCTCCTATGCCAACATGCTGAACCAGGCTCACGGGTGCCAAGGTTATTTTCAGCTGGGTGCACACATGGATCCAGGCTCCAGGAAACATCCATGAACAGGTGGCAGTTGTGCAAACACAACACAACTCCAGAATCATTTCTGTTACTGAGGTGTGTCCAGCCAAACACTGGTGCTCAGCCCCTGCAGTTCTAGAAGCAGCTCTGCTCCTGCAGTGTCACAGTGGAGAGGATGTGCTCAGTACTCGTTTGGAAACTCAAAACTGTGCCCTCTGGCACACTTCTGGTCCCTGCACCTTGGCAAAATTCTTCAGATGTTTCCTTAGAGGATTTCAAGTGTTCAGTGCCAGGCTGGGTGGGGCTTGGAGCAAACAGGTCTAGGTGAGAGTGTCCCTTGCTGTGGCTGGGAATTGGAACTAGACATGCTTTGAAGGTCTCTTCCAAGCCAAACTATTCTGTGATTCTGTGAGATTCCTCAGATATTTGACTCACTTACTCACTCCACCTCTGACTTGAATGCAGATCCAGCATCTCTGCCATGCCTGGAAGCAGTGTTAACATCCTGACTCCTTCTTCAGCCTCCTTCTTCTGGCACAGGCTCAACACCCTGGACAGGCTGCAGTGATGATGGTGTCTAAGCAGAGCAGCAGTGTTGGGAGCCAGGAGAGCCTCCATCAGGAGAAATCCAGAACAAACCATGCTGTTATGGGACAGCTGCAGCTTTTTTGGCTGGGGGACTCTTGTAAGCTTTAACCTTCCTTTGTAGTTCTAAGAGTTAACCTAGCAAAAAATAGGTGCCCCTTTCTATGAGCTCTTTCCCAGAATCACCACTTTGAGAGAAGAGGGTTGGCAGGGATGCTGCTCTTCTATTTAAAAAAATCAACGCCATTTCTGTAACACTGTTCTTGTTTGAATTTCCTCACAAAGACAGGCCCAGTGAGTGTCCTGTTACAGAATGGATACCTGCAATCCATCAATAATCCAGGAATGTCAAGGCCTCCTTATCTTGCTGCCAGGCTTGTTTGATAGTTCTCATAAGCAATAGTAGAACTTTTGAAAGAATAGAAGAACCTTTTGCACATTGCCAAAGGGTCTTTCAAGTGCTCCAGCACAAATGTGATGGTGTGATCCATCAGTGTTCTGGGATGCAAGCACTTTCCTCCCCTGGGGAGCTCTGGCAAAAAGGAACATGCACTGGCCAGGCTGGGAGAAACCACTGGGAAGCAATTTTTATCCACCTGATCATGGATCCTTGAGGGAATGACAGTTGATTGATTTCTCTGGAGTAGCCAACATGAAAAATTGCATCCTGACACTTTGGGTATATCTATATATCTTTGGCCCATTTCCAAGTGCTGATGGCTTCTTGGCTCAGCCATGGAAGTTGCTCTTCTCATCCAAGATCAGCCTCTCTTTTCTCCCTGAGGAGGCACTGGGGCATCTGGTCCTGTCAAAGAAAAGCAAGTGTTAAAGTCTGCTCCGGGGGAATTCTTTGCAATTCTACAATTTTCAGGAGACAAATTCTAGAGCAGAGGTTTTTTTCACACCATACAAAAATATTTAAAGTCCTTTGGAACTGGAAAAGCCCTAGAGAATATATCCTTTGGAAGAAAATTCTAAATTTAGTCACAAAAAATTACATGGGCTATATAAAACTCTTACATCAAAGCACAATGTAGAAAACAGACCAGAGTGTTGATGCAACCTTTGGAAAAGGCAAAGAGCGATGTGCAAAGTCCTGCAGCAGCAGAGGATGGGCTTATGCATCACAAATCATTGCTATGAAATGTTCAGTTTGAGATGATTTGCAAAATTGGAAATCTCTGATTTGGATTGGAGAAGAGAAATGAACTTCCTGATTATCCTATTTCTGTAACTCTGGCCATGCTTCTAAGAAAAGCACAAAATCGGAAACTGGCCCACGATTGCATCTGCAAATGAAAAGGAAAATCAAAAGAAACCTTCTCTATGCAGAATTTCTTATTTAGAAATAAAAATGTCAACAATAACGTGACTAGAAGAATAATTGCAGAATTTCTTATTTAGAAATAAAAATGTCAACAATAATGTGACTTGAAAAATAATTGCTCTGCACTTGAACACGCACAGAAACTCACTGTGCCCTGCTGCATCCACAGCATGGCTCCTTCCATTTCCACTGCTCCCATTTGTGCCCAGCCACTTTGCACTCACTCTGTGCATGGCTGTGACGTTCATGTCCAGCACTGAGGTCAGTCCTTCCCATTTAGGAATTCCCAGTGCTGGAACAGAGCAGAGTCACAGGCTCCTGTCCCTCAGTGCCCTGCCCTGGGCACTCTGAAGTGCAGATATCAAATCTAAGGACCATACACAATGGTAAAATACCCAAACCCTTTTAATACACCTTGAGCTTCTACTTGGAGCTGATAAAGCAGTTGCCTACCCGGTCTGAAGCACAAGTCTTCTCTGCGAGGTGGAGGATGAAGGTGTTCCCTTGTGCTCAGCCTGACTCGCCATCTGAGGAGCACCAGCATCTTCTGCTGAGACCAAACTGAGGATGCTTTGGTGTAGGACCAAGCATTAGGCAATCCCAAGAGCACAGGTGGATCTGGAAGAGCTGCTCCAGCAGTGCCTGGAGCATGGACCTTTTCTGCAGGCAAGTGTGAAAGCAGTGTCCCGGGCAGTGATGCCTTGTGCATCTGTCCGTACAGATTTCAGGGAGATGTTACAGAGGCTGAGCTCCCAAGAGGAGGAAATTCCTGCAAGCTGATGAAGACCAGGGTCTGAAGAGAGGAGAAAGAACTGCCTCTGCTAAGAACAGGCAGGAAAATTATGCTGCTCCTCTGTCCAAGAACAAGAGGCCAGCAACACACGAGTACCAGCACCAGGCTCATCCCAAACCTCTCCAGCACATGGTGTCATGAGCAAGACACATGAAGAGGAGACAGAGGTGACAAGAACCTTGGTGAGGCTGGAGACATCAATGTGCTTAGGATACAGAGAATGGAAAGCTCTGGAACCACTTTTTTTGTTTTGTTTTTTTTTTTTTAAAAACATTTGCAAAAGATAAATACCAATCAACCAAGTGCTTCACAACTACACAACAAAATGGGAAGCAGAGACATGGGTGGATTTTCAGACAACTGGGAAATCATACTGGCAAAATGTATGTCAGAGAATTCAATTGAAAAATAAATATATTGTTATTTTTAATTTGCAATCTACAGAAGTATATAAACCTATATATTCTTAAATATTAAAAATGCCTAGAAATATCATTGCCATATCAGTATAACAGCACATTTGTATGTATTGAGGTTGGATTCATAATTAATTTCATAAGATATTCTAACATTTCTAGATTAAAATGCCTCTTTTACCTGTAGTGCCACTAGTAAAACACACAATTGACAGATCTTCTGGTCGAGGAGGCTAGAAATACAAAAGGAGATTAAAAAAATCACATCAGTCAAATGCAGATGTGTCAGTGGTAGAGACTGTTGACATTGTAGAAACCTAAAGATCAAACCAATTATGTTTTTGCTCTGACAAGAGAAAAAAAAAAGGTATAATTCCCTTCAGCATATATAACCAGGATTCTTCAGCTGATGCAGGCTCTATTCCTGCTTTTATGCTGTGCTCCAGCTGCACTAAGAGCATGCCTTAGTGTTTGTCTCACAGTTAGCATTTTCCAATCCACCACCTGTATCTTTAGACACGTGGGACAGCTTGAGATAATTCATCAATTTCCAGATCAATTTTGCAAACAACTCCACAACAGGGGACAAGATTCCAAAGCTGCTGATTGTTCCCATTTCCAGCAGCATCTCTGTATTCTCAGCACCGCCCCATACGTGCACTATTTTGGGTCATTAGTGATTAAATAAACAGCTTGAATATCAGAAGCTGCTTTTGAGAGTTTTGTATGAGTATGAGCAGCCAGTGAAAAATATCAAAGCAACTTTCCCAAAATATCCCATATAAATACTGCCAAGTAGTGCTTCTGAACTACAGGAACCCCAGCAGAAAGTGAAGGGTACAGAGACATTCCAGTGCCACCAGGTTAAGGTAGTGGAATTAGGGTAGCTTAACAATGGCATTTAATTACTGTCCCATTAACACATTCATAGCAGGATGAGCTATCTCAATTAAGTGTTCCAGGTAGAGGGAATAAAGCAAATACTGCACATTGGTCCCTATGGGGGTGGTGAAGCCCTGGCACAGGCTGCCCAGGGAAGCTGTGTCTGTCCCATTCCTGAAAACGTTCAAGGCCAGGTTGGACAGGACTTGGAGCAACCAAGCACCCATGGAAGGTGTCCCTGCCCATGGCAGGGGTTGGAACAAGAGCTTTAAGGTCCCTTCTGCTGCAGTTGTAAGTGAGAAAAGCAACAAGCCAACACTCACCACAGGCACATGTCGATTCTCACGGCCACAGTCCTGGAAAAGATGAAAGCAACAAAAGTGATTTCCACCTTAATTCCTGCAGTGTAACCCATTTGCTAATGATCTGCAAACCACTAAGGGAGAGTGTGAGCTAAAGCAGACAAATTCCTAGCTGGCACTGAGGCCATCTTCATTATCCTGAGTTTCTTGCCTCAACTGCAATGCCTTCCTTGGATTTCAGGTAGTGTTTGGGTTGGTTGAGCTGCATCCAGGGTGTTTCAAACAAGTGTGAGGCTGTAGGCTTACATGTAGTGTGGGTGAGGGTCCCTAGTAATGCAGAGTCCCCAGGCAGGTGCAAAGGAGAGCTGCTTTATTGCAAAAACCAGGCCTTTTAAAGCAGTTTGGCTATTATCAGTTACATAGTTTTAAAGCATAACAAACATAATTCAACCAACCACCATACAGCACAATGTGAACACGTAATTTTTATAACTTGTGAATACACAAGTTATATAACTTGTTTTCCTACCCCTATTTCAGCTGAGTCTCTTTCCCACAGTCCTTTTCTGCTTAGCTAAATTAACTGAGCCATGATTTTACAAGGCCTTCCTTTTGTAAAGTTTTACTTATTGGTAACATCGTATGAGGACAATGTCTCAAATAACACCCCCCTTCCCATGCTTAAATAGCAGCTGATAGCATATTTGAGTTTAAAGAATTGAAATGTTGGCTCTGCTACCAACAAGGAATATCACCAAGAGGCAAGTGCACCAAGCATCAGCATTATCAGCCACAAGTTGATCTTTTGTGCTCTCCAGACACTGAACCTGGCACACAATTCACAAGTCCCTGTGCAATGTACTGTCTTTTTACAGATATTACAAAAAAATAATAGAAGGGGAGAGAAAGCAAACTCACCTCCACCTCCTGCATGGTCTGGATGCGAACCCCACAGCTCTTCCCTCTCTCTGTCAGCTCCTTCTCAAACGGGTCCATCAGGATGATAGACCTCAGGCATGGTGTTTCTTTCCTCTCCACATGGTCGAGGAGTATCTTGGCTTTTTCAGGCTTGTCACAAATGACTGTGGAAATGTCAGCTGCAAGAAAAACAGCCAAACAAGCTGTTTGCAGTAAATCTTCTTTAATGCAAGATTAGCTCATAGCTAACACTCTATCAGTTCTGATAGTCACTCCAGGATAAGCCAGAAATCCCAGCATACAACACATGCTTCTCTTGAAAAATGAGGAAAAAATGCAATCTTAGCTAACCTAAGTCAGTAACAAAGCTGTAGCTGACATTTATGATTATTCTGGGAGTCAGTTCAAAATATTAAAATTGGTCCCCACATACGTTAAAAAATCTAGGAGGCAAAATATCAAGAAACACAGGAGTGGGTGGACACATTCCCACATCCAGAGCAGCCCTTATCCATGGCTATGCACAACTGGGCATGTGGAAAATGCAACAGAGGCAGCACAGGGACACAGGGCTTCTCAGTAACCTCTCTAAGTGAATTCAAGACACTCAACAAGTAAAATCACAATGCCCCACCCCTGGAAGTGTTAATGGCCAGGCTGTATGAGGCTTGGAGCAGCCTGGTCCAGTGTAATGTGTCCCTGCCAATGAAGAGGAATGAGCTTTAAGGTCCCTTCCAACCCAAACCATTCTAGGATTATACGATCATCTGTCTTTTAGAAGCAGAAAATGAACCATTCTGAGAAACAGAACTGAGAAGATCACATCAGTTTGGATGTTACCTGTGTTGACAATGTACCGAATGGCTCCAGGACCTAAGGTGTCATACAGGGGAACCACCACCATGGAATAGGTGTAGCAAGCCAGCTCAGAGATGATCCACTGAAGGAGAACATGGAAGCACAAAGGTGAGAAGGGGCCACAAGAGCAGATATAGCTTGAGAACAAGCTGACAGGTAAGGAACATTATTAATACAATATCAAGTTGGACATAAAACCTCACCTCTGGGCGGTTTTGAGCAAAGACACCAATGAACTGCTTTGTGGATGGCTTGCAGCCCTGCTGCAAAAGGCCTGAACCCAGAGCTTCTGCTCTTTCAGCCACCTGGAATTTGGAGAGGAGAAAATACATTAAAAAAGTGGAATATAAACAATACCAAATCAAGCCAAGACTTACAGGGAGGCTCTCAAATTATTGTATTTCCGATCTAAAAGTCCAATTTTTATGTTATCATGAACCATCATTAGCTGACTAGCAGCTGATGAGGTCGGTGATGCCCGGTGGCTCCAGAGTGCCTCAGTGCTGCTTTCAGGAGTGAGCTCATGGCAGGGAGCCAGCCCCTGAAAGCTGACACACCCATGTAACACCTGGATGTGCCAGGGTGGGGACAGCAAGAAGCATCACACGGTGCATGAGCAACCCCCTGGTCTAATGTGCAGGCACCCCAAAACCCCTTCTTGTGTTGGGCAGGGGAAGAGGATGCACATTGGGTGCCACATCCAGCTCACCTCCTTGTAGGACAGCCACTGGTAGGGCTGCTTGGGCTTCCTGAACCCCAGGCAGGGGCCATTCTCTGAAAGACACAAGCAGAGATGATGAGTTATGGAGAGGCAGTGGCAGGAGTTAACACATGGGGCCATGATGTGGGGGAGCCCTCCAGGAGTAAATCCATAGTTAATGGGTTGGTTCTCACAGCAATCCCCAGCAAATTACACACACAAGTGCATCTGATGGGAGATGAGCTGCTGGGAACCCCCAAAAAGGCCTCAGTCCTCCCACTGACAGCAGCAGTTTGCCCCAAACAGCCTCATTAAAAGACACTTCTCCAAAGGTCACATGAGCATTAGTGTCTGATAAGGGCACTCATCCCACTGCCTTTTGTGCTGCCTTTTGATTTTAAAAGGTAAAAACTACTATATTTAGCCCAGCCTACTCTGGAGGAAGGTAAAACAACACGCAGCAGTGTGTGAGCAGATGAAAATTTGAAAAGTTTGAATAATTTGCTAATGACACCTACTTGCAGGGATCCATTCCTCCACACACCTACCGAGTCCTTCATCTAGCCCTGTCTTGTGGGGCAGAATATGTGCAGATCTTCTGGGGTTTTTTATTGTACCAAAAATACTAATCTGACCATGACATTGCTAAATCCAATGAGGCAGGACACCATAAACAGCAGACATGGAAATAGTTTGGTAGTGCAGGGAAGAGTCATCATGGCTCTTTGGAGTGGGAAGGGATATCTCTCAAGTGTGTGAGAGGTCTGTGACAATACCAGTGACCATGGGGTAAGAACATTTGCATGGCCTGGCCCCACCTCTCCCAACTTCTGCTCCTAGGCCTCCTCACCACTGTGCTCTCACCAGAGATGCTGAATCCCCTCCTGAAGACCTCGTACATGGTCCTGGCATCATCGTAGTAGTGCGTCAGCAGCTGCGGGCTGTCCCCGATCACCGAGCGGCGCGCCCCGGCCAGGCCCTGCGTGACACGAGGTGACACAAGGTGACACAGCCAGCAGCACTGCTCCAGGGTGGGACATGGGGAAACCCCCACCATAAAGCAGCACACTCCCCAAATGCCAGCAAGAGCTCTGTGATCACCATCTGCCCCAAGAACCAAAGGGATGTCAGAGTGTCAGATCTCAGCACCTCAGGGATACAGAGAGCCCTCTGGTCACAGAGGAACACTTGACCCAGCTCATTGTCACTGAGATCATTGATATTGCCCTAGGGAATTTAATAGGGAATTATGGATCTGGAAGTAATGGAGTGGGGATGTGCTGGGAGAAGCAACTGCTCTGGGCTCCCCAGGTCTCCAAGACTAGCACCATGAGAACTTCCACAAGGACATCCAGGCCAACATGAAAGACAGACCAAGGCAGAGCCCAGCCCCCAGTGCCATGAGCTCAGCAGAGGTATTTTAGGAGTGGGCAACCAGGGTGAGAATGAGCAAACCAGGACTGCACTGGGAGCCACAAAAAACCCAAAAAACTAAAGCCCTAATCACAGGGAAAAATTATCTTGAAAAATGTTAATTCCTCCCACCCTTTTAAAAAGCTGTTGGAATTAAAGACAATGACGTCTTAGGGGGAGCATCACAAAAGGCTTTAAAAATTCTCATCCCACTTTCAGATATTAAAATAAGTGGAGACAATACTCAGAAACATTTCTATTCTTTAAGACAGAGGCACATCATTAAAGTAATTTGCAAGGATAACAATTAGTAACTCCTCAGCCTCTAAGCATGGGTTCAGGTTTACTTTTTCTTACTATTACCAAGTTTACAACACCAAACTCAGCAATGGGCACACATAAAGTGTGCCAGGTGATCTGGTCTCATCAGCTGTTGCCTTTCAGTTGTTTCTCCCATACAATGGCAGTGCCTCTAATTTTTGGCCATGGATGGTTGAGCAAAGCTGGGACCAAAATTTTACTGAAAATCTAAGAGAATAACATGTATTTTGTATTCTAGTTTTTTAATTTACAGGAAAAGGTGAAGTGATGGGGTGAAGTGATCCCTGGCACAGTGCATTACATGGTTGACTTCAGGATGAGGTTGGGGAACTACCAAAACAACAACAACAGAAAAGCCTTTCCGGTGTGCCCTGTGGGCATAGATCTGTAGGAACAAGTCCAGAGGAGGCCAAGAAGGTGATTAGAGGGACGGGACACCTACCCTATGAGGAAATACTGAGAGAGTTGGGGTTGTTCAACCTGAAGAAGAGAAGGCTCTGGGGAGACCTTAATGAAAGGGGCTGGAAAAGGCCTTTTTACAAGGGCACATAGTGATAGAACAAGAGGTAGTGGCTTCACACTGAAATAAAGTGGGTTTAAATTAGATGCTAGAAATAATTTATCTCCTGTGAGGGTGGTGAGGCCCTGGCACAGGTTGCCCAGAGAAGCTGTGGCAGCCCCATTCCTGCAAGTGTCAAAGGCCAGGCTGGATGGAGCTTGGAACAGCCTGGTCTAGTACCCATGGCAGGCAGTTGGAATGAGATCATCTTTAAGGTCCCTTGCAACCCAATCCATGCTGTGACTTCCAGGCATGCAGACCTTGGAGAAAGCCAGCGGGGGTTGCCCTCACCTCGACTTCTTCCGACTGCATGCGCAGGTCGCAGGGCGGCTTCACAGCGCGCGGCCGGCTGGCGAACCAGTAGGCCACGACGGCGGCGAAGGCGCCCAGGCCCACCAGCGCCGTGGCCGGCAGGTTGCGGAAGAACTGGCTGAGGTCATCGAACTCGGGCAGCCGCAGGCTCCGCAGGATCTCCTGAGCCTGCATCTTCTCCACCAGCGAAACTGCAACCTCTGCAAGAGCCACAGGGATGGGTCAGGTCGGGTGAGGTCAGGCTGCGGAGGGGCAGAGGCAGCGCGGGGCTCGGGGAAGAGGAGAACATGCTTTGCCTCATCAGCCATCGCAGACACCCTGCTCTGCTGAGCCAGGGGCTGCCTGCCAGTGGCCACCCTAACTGAGAAAAACTGCATCTGTGGAAGAGACAGAAGAAAGGAGGAAGCATCCATAGCAGGGTGAGCCAGAGCAGACAGCTCACTCCCTAAGGACAGCTGAGTACCAGTGTACAGGAAGTGATGCAGCTGCAGTTATCTGGAGCGAGAGATGCTGGGACAGGCTCTAGGATCCAGCTAGGACGCCTCAGGGCTGCCAGGAGCTTTCTCTGCCTCCCCTGAGCAGGACTGCACAGACAGTTGTGCTGGACTCACAGAGTGGGAGCTGCTCCTGGGAAAGGCAAGGTCACGCTGTGGATGAGGCATCCATCTAGACTCTGCCACAGCAGGTTATCCTGCTTTTCGCTTTTGCACAAACAGAAACAGCCACCAGAGAGAAGGAGCCAAGCAGGTGGCTCACCGCTCCAGAGAGGTCAGGCGGTCCCCTGGGGACTCGTGTTTGGGCATTGAGTGCACAAGGAGCATTTTAAAAAACTCCTGTTTACAGGAGAGCCCTGTATCAGCTCCTCACTGAGGAGTCCCCAGTATCGGCCAGCCCTCTGAGGAATGAGCCAAGCAGGTGCTGCCCAGGGGGAATCCAAACAGTTCAGGTTTCCCACAGCTCTATTTATGACTTTACAAGAGTCAAGGTCTTAAAAAAGTTTTTCAGCCACATGAGCCCAGGCAGCCCTTTCCCTCTTGCCCTCTGGCCTTGCTCCAGCTTGTGGAGTTCCATGGCTTCACTTCCATGAGGGGGCCAGGACTTCCCACACAACAGCACCACTAACACAAACCTGCTTTTTTCCTCCTGGGAGCAGTGTCTGGGCTGCACTATCCTGAAATCCTCAGGGTCAGGACTACTCTCTAGTAGCCTTCTCCTGTGTTTGTGCCAAGTGAGCATTGGGGCTGGCACAGGCCAGGTGGTGAAGACAGGGGCATCCCTTGCACAGGGCTCTGGAGAAGGTTGGTAAATTTGCAGCTACCATAACAAACAATTAGCCTCACTCACTTTTGGGCTGTGAAATGGTGAGGGCAGCAGCAAGGAGACAGCAACACAGAGCCCATGTTCACGGTCATCCATCTGCCCCTGAGAGCTCTGGCCCAAATGTCCCTCTGGCCCCATGCTGCTCCCTGATGCTAGCCAACATCCCACAGCCACCTCTGCTCCCAGAGAACTCCTGACTGCAAACCTCTGGGACCACAACCAGCCTCTCAAAGAACGGTTAAACCCCTCCAATAATCACATCCAGATGATGTTACTGGGAGATACCCACCATTCTCCTGAGATGTGAGGACCTTTTCAGAAATTTCTACATGTGATAAAATACTGACTATGCAACTGCAATAATGTTGGTATGAACTGTGAGGGTGGTGAGGCACTGGCACAGCCCAGAGAAGCTGTGGATGCCCCATCCCTGGAAGTGTTCAAGGACAGGCTGGATGGAGCTTGGAGGAACCTGGTATAATGCAAGGAGTCCCTGGTCATGGCAGAGCAGTTGGAACTGGATGAGCTTCAGGGTCCCTTTCAATCTAAAGTATTCTAGGGTAGAATGATTCTATGAACTGAGACAGAGTACTGATTTCTCCCCTCAATATTTCTCAACACCAGACTATGAAAAGCAGCCTGACAAACACACTCTTACTACAAAAACTAGGAGAGCTTAGCAAGGGAGCTATTAATTTACTGCTGAATTGCCTATTTGTGCAAAAGCATTTCAGCAAGTCCCAATTAAGACAGTCTGCTCCCAGAAACAGCCTGTCCCACCAAAAGCAGCCACCCAGCTTGCTGATTACACTGAAATCCTGGGAATTACTCCCTCAACAGCAGCCTGTAAGTGCTGTTTTGTATCCATCTGTGCAGTTAAGTTGAAAATGGAAAGCTGGGAAGGTGCCTGTGGGAACAGCACTGCCATGGGAGGTGCTTGGCTATAGCCATATGCTTCTGTCCTGCTCAGCTCCAGGGATTGCCTGGGTAGAAGCAGGACTAGGCCTTTACACCCATCTGGGTCGAGGGCATCCATGGACATCCAGAGCTCATAGCATCAACAGAAGGGTCATGAGAGTCAGGGCTGCAGTTTCTGCTCACATTCAATTTTGGCACTGCAGAGTTCACACAAGTTGCCTTTCACAAGAGTTAATCCTGGGTTTTGCATCCCCAAGTGATTCGTGATAAGTCCTTACTTGATCTGCTCAGAGCAGCCAACCTGCCCTGGGATGGTGGCCAGGAAAGGGCCCAGGTGTGTTTGGGATGATCAGAGAGAGCTGCCTCACCCCTCCCTATACCTACAGACAGAGGGGTCAGGGTGCTGGCTCACAGCCTCCTCTGACAGGTCATGACAAGCAGGTGAGCACCTCATGGTCACACGCTCTGGGAATACATTTCTCATGTGATCAGGAAAATAAATCATAGTAATTGAAACCCAGCACAGTTGGGCTGGGTTACCCATCAGCAAGGCAGCGTTGCACTCCAGACTGCACAGCAAGCAGCTGCTGCTGTCACCTTGGGCTCAGGATCAGCAGCAGGATGCTCTCCACACCCCTTCTCTACAATTCTGTTACCTTTGTGCCCCATTTTTGCTACCTCTTGGCCCCATTTCTGTTGCCAGAAGTGCAATTCATGTTCCCCACAAGCGAGCAGCCTTGGGTGCCAGCAAGCAGAGCATGGCACCCATGCACATGGCAACACTGACATTTCCATTTATTCCAAATGGTACTTCACATCAATGGATTTCCAAAATATTTCCATGGCAAAGAAAAGAGAAACAAATATGCGAGGAAGGACAGAAAAAAGTGGTTTGGAGGAAGGAAGGAAGAAGTGCTGGAGAAGGGCCATGGGTAAGAGCTGGGGGTGCCTGGCACAGGGGAATTTCCCAGCCTGGGTCTGGGTTGAGCAGGGCTCCTGCAGCCTTGGGGCAGCCAGCAGGGACACTGGGCTCCAGGGCACCCACCAGCCTGTGTTCACAGCAATCACCCCCAGAACAGGGCTTATTTATTTATTTTGGCAACAAAAGGCTCTCTTGTACAAATCAGTTTTCATCTTTTTCTCCTGGAAGTGATTCTGTAACTCCAGTTGGAGTTCAGTGACATAAGCCAGTGTGGGAAAGCCTCAGACTACTGATGTGTGCCTAATGCAATTAAAATCTTACTGGTCCTGTGCAGCCACACAATCACATCCTCTCTACCATTCCATCAGTGCCTGCTTGGGAAGAACAACTCCTGTTGGGGCATCCATATCCTCCTGCCCCCTGCACTCACAGTGAGGTGGGGAAGAGGCAGGTGAACCATTTTATCCTGGAAACTGGGCAAAGTGTCCCATCACCATCCCTTTATTCAAGCCCCAAAAAAGACTATTTACATTAGACTTCCATAGCACAAAACCAAACCCAAATAAGCAGCTTTTCAATGTCTGAGAGAATTAACAGTTTGCAGTGGGGAACTGCAAAGCAGAACCAGTGACATGCAGTGGCTCAGAGTACAGAGACCCTCTGCCTCTCCCAGAGCAAGCTGGAATATCCCTTCAGCCATCCCTTCACCATGGATCCGTGTCCTTGGCTACGGCACTGGCTGCTCACTCATTTCACTGAGGAAACAGAATTTCCAGGATCTAAAACATCTCAATCTAGACAGGCTGATTTGGAGGGATTTCACGCCAGTGAAACACTACAAGCCTTTTGAACTCTTTTCTCATGTTCAGTTTTGCAGAGCCCAGACCCTGAGATTTATAGTTGTTTTCCTGAAATGGGGTCACTGACAGAACATTTGCACAAAGAAGCATCCAGCAAAACTTGAACCACCCTTCTTCACCTTCCTGTACAGAACAAAAAACATGCCAGTGCTCTGTGCAGAGGGCTTGGGGGAATTTGCAATAGGGATCCAAATCACAAATGGCACTCAAATTATGACTAGGTCACTACAAGAGAGTTTCCATTTGCCAAGGGGAAAGGGAAAATCAGCATTCCCAGGGACACATAAAATTATTAGTCAGACTGCATCACTGGAAACCATTTGTTTATTTAAATGGAAGCTGTTGCAATAATTAACATCTTCATGAAAACATGCACAGAGGCTGTCACAGCCATGCAGGCAGAGGCATTTGGGGATGTTGTGTATTGCTTGCAGAGTATAATCACTCTTATTTTTCCTTTTTCCTCAGACTCCATGTAGGCTCCTGGGAGGAACCCCTGCCATTAAATGCAGCTCAGTACCTCTGACCTTCTCCAGCTTGGCCAGGGAGCTCCTGGGACACCACAGGCTGTGAATTCCTAATCACTGCTGTAATTAAAACCAGAGAGGTGATGCCAAGTCAGCCTCTGCTCTGCAGCTCCACAAGTTTTCCCTGTGTGGGCACAGAGAATGAGAAGCTGGATAAGCCTTCAGCCCTCATCCTGAAGGCAGTGTGGGTTGGGGCTGGGCTCAGGTGAGGAAGGGGGACACTGACCACTCTGCAGCAGGAGGCTGGGCTCACATTCCTCTAGATTTTATGGGAACAAGTGATCTAATGAGATCTCCTGCTACAGACTGTGCTGTACCTCAGCCACAAAATACACAGTTCAATCCAAACCTGCAGATTTCTTCTCCCTTGTTTTATTTAAACATGAAAAATTGGAAAACTCATGGCACTTGGTCACCTTTCTATTTTCAACTAGAGATCAGGTCAATTTATTGTTTTAATGGTTTCACACTATAGTGTTTATGGAAATGGTAATGCCACACTTTACAGCGGAACAAAACCAGTGTTAATTACAGAGAGAAAATGCCATTACGTATTTGTTGGGCATTACAGAGAGCTACTGAAAACCTTACAGAACAATTCCCTGCTGTAAGAGAGGAAGCCAGGCAGTCTGCAAGCTTGCAAACTGCTTGAG